CGTGTGTATTTTTTTTACAAAATATTAAAATAAATGTATTTTTAATTAGGCTAATAAGAAAAAAAATTCAGGAAGCTTTTGTCGGCCTGTTTGTCTGTTCTCAATGTTTAGTTAAAACTGAAAATGTAAGCTAGAGAATTAAAATCTTTTAAAATTATGATGTTTTTTTTAGTGAATTCTACACTTATTTGCATTGAATTAATATCAAAAACTGCTAAATTTCTGCAGTTTTTAGAGTGAGTACGAGTTATAAAGTTGAAATTTTGTAACTAATTCTTCTGTCGTTTTGTCTATTCACAAAATGTTTGTTAAAACAGTTACTTTATTAGCGTTTTTAATAATAATTTAATTTGTTGTTTTGCACTGTTAATTAATTAATGTCCTTTTATTAGAATGATTTTATCAAGAGTATTTTAGGATTAAATTGTATTTTTTAGAAACTACAAAAAGTTTTTGAAAGAAAACTACAAAATACTAATGCACTATTTTGTAGTTTTTACTTTCCTGTCTGTTATAGGCCTATATAACAGAAAGAAAGTATGGCGATCGGTTAAAAAATGACCCCCAAGACTTTTACATTTTTGTACTTATGACACCTTGAACCGTCGAAAAATTCAAAAAATGTTTTTCCCCCCTGTATATATGGTTGTTAGTGTGTGGGTATGTGTGACAATTTTGTTCACCCTCTTTGAAGCTTAATAACTCCTGTGCTTTTCGTCGAAAATTTCTGAAATTTTGCAGGGAGGTTTGTGTATTAGAGGGATTGATGCTATTAGATGTTGGTGGTTAAAGGTCGAGGGGTTGGAGAAATAAAAAGAGTCGTGTGTATCTCTAGTAGAGTCTGATTTAATTAATGCCGATTTTACTCGTTATTAGCATTTACAATTTTTTATAAAATCCATCCCTACCCTCAATATTAAGTTTTTTGACATTATAATAGTTAAAAATATGAAAAGTTCTTTTAAATAAAATATTGTAACAGACAGCACTACTAAATGTTGCCGGGAAAGTTAAGCAACTCATTGCTGAATTTTCTTTATACAGAAAACACTTAATATATTGTCATACAATATATTAAATGTTTTCTGTTTNCCAATCGATCGCTGTAATCTTCTACCGCTTCATCATCTAAAAAGACAAATAAGTGTATTTTTTTTATTTTTTTAATGATTTTTTTCCTGTGAGCGACGATAAATAATCCAATATACATTACCGGTCGGTGTATATGGACTTGCTAGAATGGCATCAGCCAAGAGAACCAATCCAAAAATGACCAGGATCGAAACGCAATTCATATCTTTAGCTGAAAATAAATGAAATTTTATCTTTCATACTTAATCATTTATCTAAATTTTTAATTTTTAAAGTAGTTAAAGTGTTGAAAGTTGTATCGACCCACTAACAACTCTCATTAACATCGACTATGTTACGTGTTGGATGCAACTCATCAGATGTGGTTAATTGAGGAAAAACTGAGGATGTGAATAAACAAAATCTTATTATCTTGTATTCTTTCTAAAAAAAATTCAATTAGCAAGTAACAGATTTAGAAACTTTATCTAATAAAACCATCGATAATCATGGTGTTAAGCCATGGTCTTTACAGATTTCCTCTAACTAATTGCTCGAGGAAAAAATAAAAAAATGAAGACAATTACCAATAAAACGTTTTTAACACATTTAAACTTTATTTGTTTTTTAAAATAATTTTCAACTAAAACCTAACTAAAATTGATTACATTAAAAAGAAAACTCGATTATACTAAAGATAAATGAAATATTTCTAAATTAATTCTCGCAGGATTAAGTTAAATTTTATGCAAAGAATATTTTACATTTTTTTTTAAATTTAATTCTATAAAAACCGATGAGGAGAGTTGGAAATTCGCCAAAAAATATTTAAAAAATGTTTTTTTGATATATTCTAATTAAGTAAATGTAAATGATGAACTAAATTCACGTATCGGATGTTGAATAAATAAAGCAATAAAACAATTTTAAAAACTATATTATCAAAACCTAAATTTTCACTTAAAAACGTATTTTTTTTTAATTTTAAATCTATTTTCTGTATATAAAAACATGATTTTTATATCATTAAATAGATTTATATCGTCTATAAAAATATATGTTTTATATCAGTTTAATCAAGCGTGCTTAATTCCGTCAAAAATCTAAATAAGTCAACTTCAAAAAATGTTTTTCGAGTGTAAAACAAAGCATATTTATCTATAATTAATTTTTTAGAGCAATTATACTTGTAACTTTTTGAATCTTAAATTTTTCTGTATCTAAAAAACAAATCGTTCTCTTTATAAGCATTAAATAAAATATTTTAATTTTTAGATGATTTGTAGATTTTTATTTACATTTATAAGTTGTAGTTTGTCTTCATATATAACGCACACGTAAATTGTGCTATGACTTACAAGCTTTGTAGCTTTAAAAACTCTCTAAAAATTTTAATTCTTTTGAAAAGGTTTTTAAAATAATTACATTTTTAAATAAAGATTTGTATTTTACCTTTTATTGGTAAAAATGTTCTTTATTTTTGTATAATATTCCTAACTTATAGCTCCAAATATCGTAGCAGTTCACTATTTTATTACTTTATCACTAACTTTACTTGATTTATTACTTGCTGATGTCTATTAAACTAGTCTAGATCAGTATAATAAAAAATTTAAGCAATAAAATAACTTTATTTTTCTAAGTAATAAATTGCCATTAAACAGTGGTGTAAATATTCTTTTATTTTCCCAATTGTTTAACATAGATTAGATAGAGTAAAGCAGATTTAAGACTATAAAAGACAAAATAATGAAAATAGAATCAAAATATTTCTTTTATTATAAAAAATATAAAATGTTGATTCTAAAAAATTATTAAATTTTTTGAAGCTGTTTTTATTTTCTAAAAAATTTAACAGTTTTTAGTGTTATATTCAGGGCTGTGGAGTCGCGTAAAAATTTACCGACTCCGACTCCGACTTTTCCTTACAATCCGACTCCGACTCCGGCTAAAACATCAAAACTCCACGACTCCAACTCCGACTCCACAGCCCTGGTTATATTTGGTAAAAGTTAAGTTTTCGTAACTTTCGTATGTGCACTTATATATAAATAAATGCCATAAAAGTAACTTTTATCTTTAATTTGAAATTACTTATATTACTAATGTATAAATTAAGTTAAGAATGTCTTGTGTCGCGATCTATTTACAATTGTTTATCATATACGTAATTTTCTGGATTGCTAAAAGGTTGAGAAGTACTGATCTAGAATGTAAATAATTGCTTGTATTTATACAAGAAAATTGAAATAATAAATGGAAGAAAACGGTTTTTTATTTTATATTCGTTCATTACAAGAGCAATTTATTATTCAACGTTTTATTTATGTTCCTATTTTTAAAATTAATTTCACGTCAAACAGCGGAAATTCCGGGATATTTCCTGTATCTATAATGTACGAACACAAAAATTGCCGACGTCACGGATTTTGATATTCACTAAAGGAAATGATGTTGTACAGACGTCACTATAAGAAACAGAAATCGCTGACGTATTAATAATACAACAAAACAAAAATCGCTGACATCACGAATTAACTTATCTAAGAAAGGAATGACGTTTTAGAGACGTCATTATACGTAAAATCACTGAGATGGCCCAATTAACTGAGCCCTAATGGAGCTGGAAGACTTAAGTAATATATTATTGCAATCTTTATAACTTTCACTAGATTTTCATAATTTTGACAATTTTAAATAAAATGACCCGCTTATGGTTATGATATCAGAAAACAACTTTTATTATAGTTTATATAATAGAAAAAGTAGCCCCGAATAATGTTAAATTGAGGCCAAATCTATCTCATGAAGGTCCTGATTATATGAAGCAAAAATATCTGACGTCACGAATTATGATATTCACGTAAAGAAGTGACGTCATTATATAATCCGAAAATCGTGGACGAATCACAGGACAGCAAAAATTGTCGACGTCTTGTATTACGATGTTGTGACTTTATGGGACGTCATTATTACAAAATAAATGAAACGAGGCCATTTTAAATGTGAACTTTATTGTTTAATTTAAACAATTAATTGAACAAAATTGATTTATTATATCTTCTATTATTTTTATATTAAAATTATAGAGATTTTACAGAAAATAATTGCTTTACTACTTAAAATATGAGGAAAAAATAATACTATTTTATTACATTTTGTTTATTAACATGTGGAATATCTAATTCTACATCGTTGTACAATATTGTTTAGGAAAATATTTTAAAGGAAAAGTAAATGTTTTTGATTTTTTAACGTTTTTAAACATGAGTAACATTTTCGGAACAATTTTTAACAATAATTACATATACATATGTATATATATATATTATATATATATCCGATATTAAACGATCTTCTAAAATGCTTTATGGATAGACATGTATCTTGTATACTGNTATGAAGCAAAAATATCTGACGTCACGAATTATGATATTCACGTAAAGAAGTGACGTCATTATATAATCCGAAAATCGTGGACGAATCACAGGACAGCAAAAATTGTCGACGTCTTGTATTACGATGTTGTGACTTTATGGGACGTCATTATTACAAAATAAATGAAACGAGGCCATTTTAAATGTGAACTTTATTGTTTAATTTAAACAATTAATTGAACAAAATTGATTTATTATATCTTCTATTATTTTTATATTAAAATTATAGAGATTTTACAGAAAATAATTGCTTTACTACTTAAAATATGAGGAAAAAATAATACTATTTTATTACATTTTGTTTATTAACATGTGGAATATCTAATTCTACATCGTTGTACAATATTGTTTAGGAAAATATTTTAAAGGAAAAGTAAATGTTTTTGATTTTTTAACGTTTTTAAACATGAGTAACATTTTCGGAACAATTTTTAACAATAATTACATATACATATGTATATATATATATTATATATATATCCGATATTAAACGATCTTCTAAAATGCTTTATGGATAGACATGTATCTTGTATACTGGTTGACAGACACAAAAGTACGCTGGCTTATTTACCCCATCGTTGGAAGAGGCCTGCTCTTTGGCAACGGCAATTGGTACCCCACAAATTGCAACGACACGATGAGTTTTCGCAGCATCCGTTGGGTTTGTTATCGCACGATTTGCCTCTTCGAATACAATTTCGTCTGCAAAAATAATATCAAAAATACATAAAAAACTGGTAAAATAATAAAGAAAGATTTATTTTAGATAATCGATTTGCTTTTGTAAATGATAGGTTGCAGAGAACTTTAGCTTTATCGATACTCATCTTTGATTACAGGTTTTCAAGATAAAGTAGACTTCTTTGAAAATGGATCCATACTTACTTTTCTGCATTCAAAATCAAATTTTCCAATCGATCGCTGTAATCTTCTACCGCTTCATCATCTAAAAAGACAAATAAGTGTATTTTTTTTATTTTTTTAATGATTTTTTTCCTGTGAGCGACGATAAATAATCCAATATACATTACCGGTCGGTGTATATGGACTTGCTAGAATGGCATCAGCCAAGAGAACCAATCCAAAAATGACCAGGATCGAAACGCAATTCATATCTTTAGCTGAAAATAAATGAAATTTTATCTTTCATACTTAATCATTTATCTAAATTTTTAATTTTTAAAGTAGTTAAAGTGTTGAAAGTTGTATCGACCCACTAACAACTCTCATTAACATCGACTATGTTACGTGTTGGATGCAACTCATCAGATGTGGTTAATTGAGGAAAAACTGAGGATGTGAATAAACAAAATCTTATTATCTTGTATTCTTTCTAAAAAAAATTCAATTAGCAAGTAACAGATTTAGAAACTTTATCTAATAAAACCATCGATAATCATGGTGTTAAGCCATGGTCTTTACAGATTTCCTCTAACTAATTGCTCGAGGAAAAAATAAAAAAATGAAGACAATTACCAATAAAACGTTTTTAACACATTTAAACTTTATTTGTTTTTTAAAATAATTTTCAACTAAAACCTAACTAAAATTGATTACATTAAAAAGAAAACTCGATTATACTAAAGATAAATGAAATATTTCTAAATTAATTCTCGCAGGATTAAGTTAAATTTTATGCAAAGAATATTTTACATTTTTTTTTAAATTTAATTCTATAAAAACCGATGAGGAGAGTTGGAAATTCGCCAAAAAATATTTAAAAAATGTTTTTTTGATATATTCTAATTAAGTAAATGTAAATGATGAACTAAATTCACGTATCGGATGTTGAATAAATAAAGCAATAAAACAATTTTAAAAACTATATTATCAAAACCTAAATTTTCACTTAAAAACGTATTTTTTTTTAATTTTAAATCTATTTTCTGTATATAAAAACATGATTTTTATATCATTAAATAGATTTATATCGTCTATAAAAATATATGTTTTATATCAGTTTAATCAAGCGTGCTTAATTCCGTCAAAAATCTAAATAAGTCAACTTCAAAAAATGTTTTTCGAGTGTAAAACAAAGCATATTTATCTATAATTAATTTTTTAGAGCAATTATACTTGTAACTTTTTGAATCTTAAATTTTTCTGTATCTAAAAAACAAATCGTTCTCTTTATAAGCATTAAATAAAATATTTTAATTTTTAGATGATTTGTAGATTTTTATTTACATTTATAAGTTGTAGTTTGTCTTCATATATAACGCACACGTAAATTGTGCTATGACTTACAAGCTTTGTAGCTTTAAAAACTCTCTAAAAATTTTAATTCTTTTGAAAAGGTTTTTAAAATAATTACATTTTTAAATAAAGATTTGTATTTTACCTTTTATTGGTAAAAATGTTCTTTATTTTTGTATAATATTCCTAACTTATAGCTCCAAATATCGTAGCAGTTCACTATTTTATTACTTTATCACTAACTTTACTTGATTTATTACTTGCTGATGTCTATTAAACTAGTCTAGATCAGTATAATAAAAAATTTAAGCAATAAAATAACTTTATTTTTCTAAGTAATAAATTGCCATTAAACAGTGGTGTAAATATTCTTTTATTTTCCCAATTGTTTAACATAGATTAGATAGAGTAAAGCAGATTTAAGACTATAAAAGACAAAATAATGAAAATAGAATCAAAATATTTCTTTTATTATAAAAAATATAAAATGTTGATTCTAAAAAATTATTAAATTTTTTGAAGCTGTTTTTATTTTCTAAAAAATTTAACAGTTTTTAGTGTTATATTCAGGGCTGTGGAGTCGCGTAAAAATTTACCGACTCCGACTCCGACTTTTCCTTACAATCCGACTCCGACTCCGGCTAAAACATCAAAACTCCACGACTCCAACTCCGACTCCACAGCCCTGGTTATATTTGGTAAAAGTTAAGTTTTCGTAACTTTCGTATGTGCACTTATATATAAATAAATGCCATAAAAGTAACTTTTATCTTTAATTTGAAATTACTTATATTACTAATGTATAAATTAAGTTAAGAATGTCTTGTGATATACAGTAAATAAATAAATAAATTTTAAAATACTGTATTTAGTTTTGATTAATTTTTTTCTTTTAAAATTTTCCTGAAAAACAATCGAGTGTTACATTTACTCAGTTTCTCTACAATTTTATGATTTATTTTTTTGGAATTTGTTAAATTTTTGTTAAAGTGAAAGACTGAAAATTTACAATTCAAAAACATGATTTAAAAATAAAAGGATAAGAAATAAAAAAGAAGAAACTGGTCTTTCGCGGGTAGTTTAAAAAACATGCAAATGTAATCGTAATGTTCTTTGCGAATAAGATCGCATTTAAGGCTTACGCAGCTAAAAAATCGATAAATTTATAAAAAAAAATTAATTAGAAAAGTAAAAAAAAACCAAGACATGAAACCTAGAGATACAGGTCCTTTGCGAATATTTTAAAAGAAACAAAAAGTTTTGAGTAAACAAAGTCGCATTCAGAGTTTATCCATGTAGAAAATTTCTAAATTTCTAAAAAATTTAATCAAATCATAAAATCTTATCACAGAAATTAATAAAAATAATTCTAATAACTTCTAGAAATGTAAGATCCTAGCTTATATTATACGGTTAAGTCGCGGGTTCGGATCTCTTTACAAAGTTTAATTTATTGTTTCGTTAGTGTCGAATGATTAGAAATATGTCAAAGTTATTTGATCAGCCAAGTTATTTGATTGGGAAATTTATTTAGATGTTGTATATGTAAATATAATTTCTTGGAAAAGCGAAACGTCATTTCGAAATCAAAAATTTATTGGAATCTAAGAGGAAATAAATGAAATAGGAGAGAAAAATCCTCGAGTGGAAATTGCTGAATTTTCAAAAAGCAGATATTGAAAGTGTCTAGAAACGTTATAACATCCAATAAATCTCTCTCTATCCATCTAAAATGTTAAATTTCTAATTTAAATAACACTAAAGTGAAATTTGTTAAACAACATTCTTAACAAATCGCTTTCTCGCTTACTAAATCCTCGATAAATTGTTTTTTGAACTGCTACGACTTTACAATCTGTACGTAAGTGTTCTCGAAAAATTGTTTTTTAAATTGCTATAAATTTTTTGGAATGCATAAGGATCTTGTTACGAATTTTTTGGAATCTGTAACTAAATATTCCAGAAAAATTGTATTTTGAATTGCTTCGAATTTCATTTTTTTTTCTTTTTTTGAATCTGTAAATAAGTATTCTCGAAAAAGTGTTTCTCGAATTGCTACGAATTTCTTAGAAACTCTACGTAAGTATCCTCAAAATTGTATTTTGAATTGCTGCAAATTTTCAGAATTTTCATAAGTATCCTCGAAAATTGTTTTTTGATTTGTTGCAAAAGTTTTAGAATCTATAAATAAGTGTCACATTATATAAATTTTTCAAAAACATCTGAAGATGACAATCAGATCTTTTTGAATAATGAAAGATATAAAACTATGTTTAATATCTTTTAAATTTTATGTTAATACCATCACTTATCATCTCGTGTACACGTAATATGTTCATGTCATGCACATGTATCACATGTAACGAATCATTTATTCAATATTTAATTTTTTACAAAGGTCAAAGATTTTCTGACAGGTTTAATTAAATATTCGAAAAAAATTATAATTCAAACTTTATCAAACAAAGCCAAATAAATATGTTAAATGATCAATCTTCATCCAAAAAAACGCACTTTTAACATGCAAAATGCATTATCTTGAAGTAATGGTGTAAGTTAACATCCGTCTATGAAAGAAATTAATAGTACGAGTTTGTTGGAAACTATAACACAAACTTCTAAAAAAATCTTTAATATTTAATCGATTTAAAGCTTATATTTATTAAGATTTCTTAGGTGCTAAACATTTATTATTTATAAATTTACTTTGGTTTAACTTTAAAGCAATTATCGAATCTTTATGAGATTATTTCCAAAAAGTTTATGCATTTTTAGTAATTTTTTTAGTTTCTTAATAGATCAAAAGCATTTTGTGTCATACAATTAAGTGGATTTTATCGTTAAAGACTTGTCTCTCCAACATCTAAAAAATCCAATTTCTAACAATTATCTATCGCTTCGATTGATCAAAAAGAATTTTATATTTAACGATTTTCTTAATGTAATTTATATTTTTAGAAAGAAATAACTTAATAATTTTTAACTAATTAAACTCAAATGTTTCAGAAAGTGTCATTATAACCTCTGACCTTACACGCTTTAAAATCAATTTTTTTAAATTAAAGAATACTGTAAATTAGTGCAAGAATATTATATATAATTTAAGAATAAATATTCATTTAGGATTTAATTTTAATAAATGAATATTTATTCTTTTTTCATATTTTAGATTTATAAAAATTCATATTTTAGATTTATAAAAATTAAAACTCACTTGAAACTTTTTATTTACGAATTGTACTTCACGTAGAAAAAAAATTAAAGTTTTTAGTTAATATTATCGCGTTATTACATTAAAAATGTCTAATTAAAAAAATCCTCAAAAATTCTCTTATTCTTCAAAATCCAAAAAATCCTTTTATTCTTTCGAATTTTTCATATTCATTGAATTGTTTTTCGAAGAATTGTACCAAAAAACGCTATTTTGATTTTATTATTGTAATAATTTTTTAGATATTTTTCACTTTTCTGAAAATCTAATTTCTTATTTTAATTTTACTCATAAATATTATTTATAAAAACCAAGTAAATATGTAAAATTTCAAAAAATTGTAGGTTGATTTTTTTCGGAAAACTTCCAAAAAATTAATCTAAAAATGACCTTATATTCGTGTAAAAGTGCATTGCTGTTTCGAATTCCCGTATCTACAATAACTGTTTCTCAAAGGAAACATATTCAAAAACATTATTTTTATTTTATTACTGTATGAATTTTTAGATTTTTTTCCTATCTCTGTATTAATTTTATTCATAACTGTATTATTTTCTCAAAAAAAACTAAGTGAATAATTCATGATTTAAAATAATGATACCGAAACGTAAATATTGTGAGACGTGTAAAATTTCTAAACGTTTTAGATTAATTTTTTAAAACTTTTAAAAATTTTTCCACTAAATTAATCTAAACATTCTCTTATTATTTAATATCCAAAAACATTTTTATTACAGTTTCGAATTGTTCGTATCTAATAATCGTTTCTTGGAGGAAACATATTTAAAAATGTTATTTTTATTTTTCTACTGTAATAATATTTACATGTTTTTTTAAAACTCTTCTAAAAATCTAATAAAATCTAGTATTAACTATACTCATAACTGTGTTATTTTCTAAAAAACCGAGTGAATAATTTATGAAACAATACCTGAAACAGAAGTATGACATAAAAATTTTTATAAATTTTAGATTAATGTTTTGGAAAAATCTTAACTCTTTCCAAAAAATTAATCACAAGACTTCTTAAAGAAACGTATTAACATCTAAAACCCCTTTTATTCCCCCCGTTTTTCGTATCTGAAATAAGAGTCGGAGAAATCAAAATCCAAAAAGAATTTTTATTTTTGTTTTATTACTGTAATAATTTTTAGATGTTTTTCCTTATAAAAATCTAATAAAATCACGCATTAAAATTTACTCATAATTGTGTTATTTTCTAAATAAAAAAAAGAAATAGAGTGAATAATTGATGAAGATTTTAAGCAATAACATCGGAAACAGAAAATTTGTAAGTAATAAAACATATGTAAATTATTTCTTTTTAGAAATTTTACAAGAAAATGAATAAGAAAATGATTTTTTTATTCATGAATTTTATATATATATATACACATATTTTTTTACTTAAATAAAGATATTAAATTGCGAACCATTCATACTTTTGTAAGCAACGTAGCAGAGTGATTAAAATGAATGAATGACTTACATCTAAAGATGAATATTTAAATTTAGGATTAGCCAGTTGAATAGATAAAAGAGTTCTTTCATAATAAAGAATTCATTTTGATAAAGTTGTTTATTATTTTGAATCAATTCTCGAACGTCGTTTATCCTTAATGATAATGTTCCAAAAAAAACACGTAATAAGAACGTAATTAATGATAACAAAGCCAAGAGTGAAAGCAAAAGAATCGTCTTTCTCTCGCTTTCTAAATTAAACCTTTATCTAAAAAAACAATTTATCACTTTATTAAATTCAAAAAACAGCTAAGATATGAGTTTTTTTAGAATTTGTAGAATTTAATTCTAAAGAATTAAATTACGTGGGCGCTGTTGTTAAACTATCGAGAATTTGTGATTTTTTGTGGTTACTTTCAAAAAAACGAATTATTTAATCTCTATTGAAACATATAAAGTTATTTTATTGTATTCAGTCTAAAAAAATTACTTTTTTCAACTAAACTTTCAGAAATTTACTCGTTAAATTTGACAATCTGTGTGCCAAACACGATACAAACTTTGTCACGTTGTGAATTTTTTTAGAAAAGTAATTTAATAGAGAATTTTTAGAATCTAAAACTGCACATTTTCTATATTGAAAGCTTGCAAATTATATGCTAATTTAATAACTATTACAATAAAAAATGTTCTTTTTATTTGAAATTTTAAGTATATTTTTGTTGTATTTAGGAATTTTTTTTGATTAATAGTAAAATATTTGAAATGAAATTTTCTAAAAAACGATGAAAATTAAATTACAGAACTAAGGATAAGAACTCTTTACCAGTTTAGAGTAATGATTTTTTCATATGTTTATCTCAAATTTAATGATTTACCGTGTTTTATACTGTTTAATAAGCCCATTCGAGAATTTATATTTATACTTACAGAAATATATATAAAATTAAATATTTTAGAATTTTCAAGACGTTGCAAGTTTATTTTATGTCAAATATACAAAAAAGAAATTATCTAAATTTTATTTCTATCTCGTAAATGAAGTGTTAAACATCTTTTGTTCTTGTTTTTAATAAAAAAAACATATATAAAAAACACAAATATGTGTGTAGAAAAATAAAACATTAAAAACGTTAAAAGAATATAAACTTTAAGTTATCTTGGGGAAAAAAGTGAATTATTTAAGTATTCTTTGAGTAAAATTCTTGTTTACAAGACGAAGTTAGAAAGCAAACACCAAGATCCCAAAGGCAATAAAGGGGTAAGGAATGTACACAAGAGGCATTCAATGAGGCTTTTGTAAGTGAGTATGAAGATCAAAGTTAACTTCAGTTTATAGAACACTTTAAAGCTTTAAGGCTTTAAATAAAAATATGCTATAATTAACTATTTATTTACGCAAATTAATTTGTTTTTATGTCTTTTCTTAAACTGTATATGACGTGTTGTTGTAGTATTATATCTAGATGATTAGAAGAAGACCAAATATCGGGATCTCCCGCTGGTTTGATTATTATCCTCTTCCTTGTATCATGATTACAAATCATCAAAGGCGGCTTCGGCATCTTTTCATCAAAGAAAACGACTTGGAATATCATCTTATCTAATAAATAAGTGTTAACCAGGTTTGTAATTTTATGTTTTAGCAATTTATTAATTTTTTTTTCTTCTTTGGCATATTCTTTACAAATTTATCATAAATATCAATTTCCTACTTTTCTTGAATAATTTATTCTCTATANTTAAAATGTAATTTTTTAAAAATAATTTATATATAAAAATAGAGAAGTATATGTAAAATACAAAATAGTCTATCTCTTGTAGGATAGAAAGTAAATTAGGACCAGATGTTACGCTTTAAAATCATAAAAATTGCCTGTTGATTCATTAGTTACATACACAAATATACTTACTTGAATGACTTGACGGTCTTCCTCTATGAGAAACGATGTTTTGTCAATGAGAAATTTTGTCACTGATACCTAAACTATCAAAAGCAACACATTCGAATACAGTTGGGTTTGCTCTTTATATTCTCTGGCGTACGGGATGGTGCGAAAGGTGCGCATTCTCAGTACCAAAAATCAATATTTTGTGTGTTATTTTCTATGATGTCACAGAGTTAAAGTTTTATCGAGTTGCTAAAATCACTACAAACATGAATATAACTACACCAAAAGAAAAATATTTGACACTCTCCATGTATTTTGTGTGCGATGGTACGAAACGGATCTTTCTAAAAAAAATTCTAAAAATTTTTTTAAATCTAAAAAAATTAATTAAAAAATCATACGACATTTTTTTTCAAAATATTTAAACGCATTTAATAATATACTATTACGTTAATTACACAGTATTTGAAATTAAATTTTATTGTCTTAATATACATAAAATCGATTTTCCAGGCGGAATTTCTGTAATTTAAATATATTTTAAAGTGAGGATTCTGTGTGAAATAATTATAATTAATTAATTAGTAATTATTACATTTAAACTAATTTAAAATTAAAAAAATAATAAACTGAGAAATGATGAAGCTTACACGTGATGAATTCACTAAATGGTAGCAAATTCCTGTACTTCTCCTAATGTATTCCCTCGATTACTGTTTAATTTACAAATCTAGTAACCATCAAAACTGTGTATTTACTTTCGCTTCCGGTTCACAAACAATTATTAAGATTGTTAGCTGAATAGAATTAATATGAATTCTTAACTTAATGAACTAACAATAATATAAAACTATACGTGCAAGGAATTTTAATTGTTCTTATCTACTGACTGAATAAAAGTATTTAAAGTAGATTTGTTCATATAAATATCTTTGCATTTGTTGATTTACTTGTCTATATATAGCTTGGTAATTAAAAATTTATGCTAAAAAGCAATCCCAAGACGAAGGAGATCCAAAGTTTTAAATTAGTGTCATTAGCATTGTTAATGCTTTCTAACAAAGTCGTGCAGAATTTTTTGGAATTTTGAGGTTTATACTATTTTAATGAAGTGTTTTATTTGATAAAAATGGCTGAAGGTTGTGTTACACAATTAATAAACTTAAACAAATTTTCTTAATTATGTATTCGTATTTGCTTAAAGTAAGAATTAAATTAGACCTTCTATTTTTACATTATGATCTTGATCAATCTAATTTAATCCATATTTATTCTGTATTTTTATTTTATAAAGACCAATTCTTTCATCATTATACCTCATTTAAAATCTAAATTTAAAAGTTTAAATATATGTTTTTCCCCTTAAAAAATGTAGTAATTATTTAATTTGTAAAGCATGAGGCTTAAAAATTTCGATATAACTAACATAATATAGTATTTAGATATTAGCTATATATATATTTATATAGATATTGTGTTAGCTATATAAATGTTTCTGTGCCTCATACTTATTGGAGTGAGTAACCACTAAATTCTTTAGTAAAAGTATATACAGTATTAGTTTTTTAAGCTTTTAATAAGTTATATCAAGCTGCTTGCATTCTAGTGAAAACATTATTTTATATTCTTTGGGAATGTATATTTATAATATTTACTGTAATCATAGATTATGAGGCAAAATTCTGTTTCATACATTATTAATTGTGTAATTACGAGACATTTTAGAAAAATTTTACATTTAGATATTTAAATTTAACTTTTTCAGATTTTAGTCAGATGTATTATGTAATCTACATACTTGTGGAAGAATTATTGTATATTCTTTTATATTCTGTACATAATGAACGGATATTCTAATTATATACAGCTTCAACGATAAATAAATTCGTCAAATACTATAAAATTATCAAATTTAATTAATTTATTTATCAGATTTTACCTCATTTCTGAGCAATAAAATATTAAATAATTATTTTCTCTTTTATTAACTTTCATAAATATTTTATTTTAATTTTTTAGAAAAATTGTTTTATGTATTTATTTATCTGAAAATCTAATTTTTACTTCTAAAAACTTTTCTTAGTCTTTCAAAAAAAGAATTTTATAAACGTACTTGCAACTATATGTAAGGAAGGACTATAGAGAAGTGACAATTGTGACACAAACGATTTGAAAGAGTAGTTTTTTGAAGTTTATGTTTTTAAAAAGTAAATTTTAAAAAATTTCTTCTCTTTAAACAGTTTATTTATTTCTCTATTTAAATAATTAATTTTAAATATTTAGAAATAAACATAATATAGTTAACCCTTTTATACACTGGTGAATAGGAATTTAATCATAATTTTTGAATGTAGGGTTTATTTATATAGGGAAGAAGGAAGAAATTTTTATGCTTTGTATCTCGAGAGAATATACAAACCATTCTAGAGTAGTAGAAAAACCATATAAATTTTATGAGCATCCAATCAATGTATTCGAACCTTTATCACGTAAGAGTAAAAGGAATTTTATTTATTTATTTGCCGCTTGTTTTTTTATTATTTTTTAATACTTTTCGTGTTTTTGGTAAGAAATAAAATTATTATAACATCTAATAAATTAATTTTATGCATTGTAATGTATAAAAATTTAATTTTTTTATCATTAGTTTTTAAATATTCAAAATAGATTTTTTATTTTTGCAATTATTCAAAACAGCTGTGAATATTCAAAAATTATTCCTTGCAAATATACAAAGTAATTGTACCTTACAATTACATTATTTAAAAAAAAATTGAAATGGATTAATATTTTATATAAAATGTGCAATTTTTAGATTAAATAAGAGATATTCTATAAATAGTGAGCCTCGTGTGAATTGTTAATATAATTACAAATGTTTTAACTCTCTTATTGCTCATTATTTAATTTTACACGTTGTTACAATTTATTATTCATTCTCGTAATTATCAAGTTGCAACTCATTCGAAATGTTCTTAAAATAGGAAGAGTTTAGTCGTTAACATAAACTTTTATCTACAAAAAATATATTCTTTTTATATTTATGTTTACTACAAAATCGATTTGTTTTTTTGAATTCAAGAAATATAAAAAAGTGTCGGATGAGGCATGGGTAATATATTTTTATGATCAAAGTTATCGAAGTGATGTGAATATATTCGAATAACTTTTGATTATTCTTCTTTTATTTCGTATTTTTTGAATCCCAAGTGCAAATTTTAGAAGATTAGAAGCTTATTTAGAAGATTAAATGATATAAAGTGTCACATATTTTGAGAAATTTGATTGAAATGGTTAATATTTTATCATTGAGAAAATATAAAATATCAAAGAGTTTATAAAAAAATAATTCCTAATACTTTTATTTCTTTCATTATAAAAATTTATATTTATCGTTTTCAATTTTATAATATATATATATATATAAAGTCTAATTTGTACAATTTGTAATTAATAAAAATCATTATAAATTTTTAAAATATCTAAGAAAGTTTTTAAAATGAATTCACAATATTTTTAATTAATTAATTAATTATTATTATTACTTTCCCGGCTGTTATATATAACAGTATAACAGAGGAAAAGTATGGCAATCGATCAAAAAATAACCCCCCCCNTAGGGTTTATTTATATAGGGAAGAAGGAAGAAATTTTTATGCTTTGTATCTCGAGAGAATATACAAACCATTCTAGAGTAGTAGAAAAACCATATAAATTTTATGAGCATCCAATCAATGTATTCGAACCTTTATCACGTAAGAGTAAAAGGAATTTTATTTATTTATTTGCCGCTTGTTTTTTTATTATTTTTTAATACTTTTCGTGTTTTTGGTAAGAAATAAAATTATTATAACATCTAATAAATTAATTTTATGCATTGTAATGTATAAAAATTTAATTTTTTATCATTAGTTTTTAAATATTCAAAATAGATTTTTTATTTTTGCAATTATTCAAAACAGCTGTGAATATTCAAAAATTATTCCTTGCAAATATACAAAGTAATTGTACCTTACAATTACATTATTTAAAAAAAATTGAAATGGATTAATATTTTATATAAAATGTGCAATTTTTAGATTAAATAAGAGATATTCTATAAATAGTGAGCCTCGTGTGAATTGTTAATATAATTACAAATGTTTTAACTCTCTTATTGCTCATTATTTAATTTTACACGTTGTTACAATTTATTATTCATTCTCGTAATTATCAAGTTGCAACTCATTCGAAATGTTCTTAAAATAGGAAGAGTTTAGTCGTTAACATAAACTTTTATCTACAAAAAATATATTCTTTTTATATTTATGTTTACTACAAAATCGATTTGTTTTTTTGAATTCAAGAAATATAAAAAAGTGTCGGATGAGGCATGGGTAATATATTTTTATGATCAAAGTTATCGAAGTGATGTGAATATATTCGAATAACTTTTGATTATTCTTCTTTTATTTCGTATTTTTTGAATCCCAAGTGCAAATTTTAGAAGATTAGAAGCTTATTTAGAAGATTAAATGATATAAAGTGTCATATATTTTGAGAAATTTGATTGAAATGGTTAATATTTTATCATTGAGAAAATATAAAATATCAAAGAGTTTATAAAAAAATAATTCCTAATACTTTTATTTCTTTCATTATAAAAATTTATATTTATCGTTTTCAATTTTATAATATATATATATATATAAAGTCTAATTTGTACAATTTGTAATTAATAAAAATCATTATAAATTTTTAAAATATCTAAGAAAGTTTTTAAAATGAATTCACAATATTTTTAATTAATTAATTAATTATTATTATTACTTTCCCGGCTGTTATATATAACAGTATAACAGAGGAAAAGTATGGCAATCGATCAAAAAATGACCCTCCAGATTTTTAAATTTTTGGACTCTGGACCTTGAAATTTTGAGGAATGCAAAAAAATTTGGGTGTAAATTCTGTATGTTTGGATGTTAATGTATGTGTGTGGGAGGCACGATTTTGTCCACTCTCTTTGTGGCTTAATAACTCCTGTGCTTTTGATCGAAATTTTCTGAAATTTTGCAGGGAGGTTTGGTTATTAGGGAAATTAATACTGTTAAATTTTGGTGATTAAAGGTTGAGGGAGTAGAAAGATAAGAGGGATCGTGTGTATCTCCTATAGGATTGGTGTTAATGACGAATTTA